GGTCATTAGTGGAGATATTCCAAACATCAGACCTAAATGTCAAATGCTTCAGCTTTGCAAAAGACTTGTGAAGATGTCTGAGCAGAGACTACAAAGATATTTAATTAGGACACTTCACAAAGCCTTACCTGGGCTAATGAGTTAAAATCCTTATCTTATATGAAGGATTTGTCATTTATTTTTCATAACAGGTGACTCTGTGATATCCAGGAAACCAGGAGTAAAATGTTTCTCATGTTTAGAGAAAAATGCTCTGTTGATATGTAGTCAAAACAAAAATTATGAATTTTATTGCCTCATGAAGAAAAGCTACAGTGTAGAGCCTTGTGTGAAGTATAATTTAAACAAAAGACAAAGATCACTGTGTGCACAGTTACGTTCAGGAACACAAACATTAGCCCTGATGACCAGCAGGTTTAATGCCACTTCAGAGGAGGACAGACTTTGCTTGCTGCATGCACTGCGTGAACTTGAGAAGGAGGTTCATTTTTGTTCTTCTGTCCTGCCTGTGAGGACATAAGGGATGTCCATTTGAGTAAAATGTTGTGAAATGTTTGACCAAGGCTCAGACCTCACCACAGCGGCCTGGGTTCGAATCCAGCCTGGGCCCTTTGCTGCATGTCATCCCCTCTCTCTCCCCCATCTTTCCTGTCACTCTCTCACTGTTCCTATCAAATTAAAGGCAAAAAACTGACTCAAAAAATAACTTCAAAAAATCCTGCTGAGACCTGGGATCCCAAAAGGGAAGGTTGTAGCAGTCCTCTACTATCCCCAAGCAAATTGGGAATGACCACACCCTGACACATAACACAGTCAGGATTTTCAAATCAACTGATCCTGATCTACAACTTTTACACAACATTAACATACAGCTACGCCGTCAGAGTGATACTCACAATGTATAAAGCCCTACACTACTCTCCTAGTTACCTTTCAAAAACTTAGCTCACTTTAGGCAAAAAGCACCAAGTGACCAATCACACAAAAGGTAAATGTTTCCAATACAACAACAACAACAACAACAACAACAACAACAACAACAACAACAACAACAACAACAACAACAACACCACACAGAGCCTTAGAAATTGGTTAAGTGCTAAAGTTAAATAATATTGGTGTCTGTCCATAGAGAGCAAGACATAGGCTCTGATGGGCAGTTTGTTTTTAATAGAAACAAGACCAGATCCAATAATGGTCAACTACAGCGTTCCTGACTGCAGTTGATCTCAGTGTCTAAGTGACTTTTAGTAAACCCAGTTTGAGGTTTCATCAGACACACTCCAGACAGCTCACCATGTGATCACCAGAGCGGACGCTGTAGCATTTGGGTAGAGCTGACAAATTCTGGCCACCAGTGTGGCACATGATCAGCCACCCAAAAAGCCCAGCATGTTGGAGTACATGTTACCCCCTGAGGGAAAATAAGAAGATTAGAAAACAGATTAACATCTCTAGTGCACAGTTTAACCAAACAATGGCCTGCTCTAACTTGCTATACATCCCTCAGCCAAGTTAAATATCAAATACCCCTGTATCCCTGTTTTATTTTACATTAGCATAACTTCCAACTGCTATTACAAAAAATGCAATTCTTCTTCTTATTCTTCTTCCTTTCTAAAACGATGTAAAATTTGATAAAAGATACAAATACTGTGACAGCTACATAGTGAATTGTACATTGTTTATTTCTGCAATATAGAGGTTGGGCTATGGTTGCCTGGTAGCAAATGTAGACATACCAAACAAAATATCAATGGCAACATGAGACACTGGAAAACATGAGCCCTGGTACAGAAAAGAAAACAATGACTTTGTCCAAAATTAATTCCTTGTACTGTAACACTCAACATTTAACTTAATAGTGAACAACAAACTGAGACCGAAGTTATTATTTTGCACCAGTGCCTAGAAAATGATTTTGAATACAGTCAATGATGTGTAATCCTGTTTTGAATGAAGGCCAACACAGGAGTTCTCCCATTATCATGTAAGGGGACAACCCCATCTATATTCACAGTCTCTTGAGGGACTAGCAAGCTTAACTAGTTCTGTGTGTTAAACTCACCTTTGACCCACAGCTTGTGGCTCTCAAAGTGATCCGAAGTTATAAATGTTAGGCACAAGAGTCAGGATTTCCTCTAAAACTATGTAGCCCATAGAAATAGAATGAAAACAAAGATTAATATAGAAACAATCACAGGGAAAAAAGGCAATCCACAAATAAACACACTGGCACTGTCGTACATCAAGGAAAAATAGCTACAGCTGTCAGGTAAAACTGCTGGGTTTCTGAGCAGTTGTTTACTTTAATCTTATGCTTATCATTGAGACACCTGATGCAGAGGTTATCTTTGTTTTGTGACATCTTGTCATCAAGAAGGTAAAACTTTAATTGAGGATACAGCAGACTGTAGAGTTTTTATTTATTTCTCTTGACAAATTACCTAATTTCCATCATAGGACAGTTTGATGACAGGGATAAATGCCTCTTCAATGGCCTAAGGACAACTCTTACTAGGGAGAAAAATGTACTTTGACTTGTACACAATAAATCACTTATTACTAACCAGTATGTCTCTGACCTCCCCCTGAGTTTTCAGTCTCTCATAGAAGGAGGTGAAGAAGTCCTCTCTCTTGAGAAATCCAGGTACAATACAAAGAGCATCAATATCAGCACCTGTCAAAGTAACACAGTTTCATATGAGAGGAAAGTCTATATTTAAACAGACCATTATCTTCACCATCTACTCTCTAGGTGGTAACCTGCCACTGAAAGAACTGTGTTTTCCCTGAATAGAAAGTCACTTGTGAAACTGATCACTGGAAGATTTATCACATAGCACCTTCACCTATGTGTGAATCAATACTCACATTACATGAATCACATGAGCCAGTGTAAAATTCAAGTTGCCACAGTTCTAATATGTTTCCAGTATCATATTTGGTAGTACCTTTGAAACATATAGATAAAAAAGATTTAACCAGCAATTTCTTACTGTTTCTTCACATATTGTTTTGAGCCACTCATTTTAGAGTGACTCAGTTTTTTCCCCCAACTTTCTCTCTGTAAATAAAACATAAAGTGCACATGATCAGATATCATAATTTCTCTGAAGCAAAGGAAACTTGCAAACTTGCCATGATTAGTCAAGATAAAGAATAACAATTAAAAACATTCACAACAAACAGTCCACCTCATTTGAAAACTTAAGTTAAATTGCTGCGTTAAAAGCCTGAGTAAACTTTACTTGAAATTGCAGTTGGTATATATATATAGTTGAAGTTATTTTAGCTTGAAATTTTGAGTTGAAATAGTGTTTGAATGGATAATGAAAGAGTTTTTTTTTATTTTTTTAATTCAAGCAACAAATTAGCATTAGCCTAGTTAAACAACTTGTGTAACTTAACTTTCTGAGCGGAAATAAAGCGTGTCTTCAAGTTGAGTTTACTCACATTTTCAATTGCTTGGAATTAGACTTCTATTCTCAAGAAAATAATGTTTTGTTTTCGTTTTCAAAATGATTAAGCCACAATGTTCTGAGATGATGAGATTGTTTGTGATATGACACATGATTCAAAAAAGTAATGCCAACCATTTCAATATTGCAAGCAGAAAAAACTATTTTACTATTAACTTTTTTCTCCCAGTGAATACATGAGCGAATTTGTGGAGAAAATAATACTGAATGAACAACATTATGTGGCCTTTCTCTGGATCAGCTGCACTAGGTGGATCTTAAAGCTGCTCTGATCAATAATTGTATATGAACAATTGATCAGATGACTATATGTAATGTGAAAGGCACTGCTTGTGATGAACCTACAGAAAATGATCATCCGACTCTGCTGTTCCCCTCTGCTGTATAAAGAGTTTTAGCATCTTTCAGTTCATTATTTTGCTTTTACAGCGCATTTTCACTTCTGCTGCTTTAACTATCACCGCTCTTATCAGTGTCACCTTCATTTTCGGCCACACAGAATGCAGTTCTGAGAGAAAAACTTCAAAAAAGCCATTCTATGCTACTTGCTCAGCACCAAATGACAGACAAAGCTAGATACTGGCTGGGAAACACTGTGGACCATTCAGCAGCCAAGGAGACAGATATTTTCCTCAGGGGAGGGTTGAAAACAAAACAGAACAAAAAGGAAAGTAAATATTAGATTTACGTTTGCCAAGTGACCAAAGAATCAATCATTACAGGTTTAAGTAAGGTTAAAGACTTAACCTTTTTAATTTATTAATTTCTAAGTTAACATCTCCCACCATGTATTATTAGCAAACAAAAGTAAGTGCCTATAATAGGTGTCACATCTGCCTTAGTTCATATTTCTATGATAGTTTCTATGATTTCTAGATAGTTAGTTCTTGGGATCATCTCCATTCAACCAATAAAGTTTTATTATGCAATACTATCACACATTGGTTTTCTTAGACTTTGGAGTAAATAATATCCTGAATAATGTTTCTTTACCAAAGTCTTTTCAGGTTTAGTAGACTCTCTCAAACTCTGTTCTGGTTACTCTGAGTACATAACCCTGTCCTGACCACAGGATGAAATAGTATTGTTGGTGAGTTTAATATTTTGTTGCTGGAGTTTTTTTTTTTGTTTTTTTTTTTTACATTTATCTTTTCTTGCTCATGTACATTTTTTCTGTAATATTTGTGTATTTAGCACTGTATTTAGCACTGAATAGCCACCATATAGAGTCGTCGTATTGTTATAAGAACAATGTTGGTCAGTTGATTAGTGTAAGATTGAAGTGTATGAATGTCAGTGTCAGTCCTTATTATCTCTGAATGCCAATATCGGATAATTACTTCTCCACTTTGTTCTAATACCACAATTATTGCCCTGTCGGTGCCCGTCCATAATAACAAACGTCCTACCACTTGTTACTGTTCGGATTAGAGACGAGGAAATTTCCAGGCATCTTTCATTTCTACAGGGAAACCTGAACGCAGCAGAGGGACCAATGAATTGAGGGTGAAGAAGGAAGGACGGTGAAAACAAAAATGGACATCGATCGAAAATAACCTAGTAAGACTGAAAATTCATTGTCTCGTGTTAAAACATTGGTGCAGCTAAAATGCTGTGACAATGTTGCGACGAAAAAATGCAAATTCAGTAAAAAAGACGTTTCGTTTCGAGCACCGACTGCTAGTTCGGTAGCTAAGTTAGCCTCAGTAGCTTAGAAACGTATGTTAGCATTATTAGCTGTAACATTAACGGTACAATATTGGCCGCTAAGTCTAACATTGTAGTAACTGTTAGCTAGCATTTTCTCATTTAAATAGCGTTAAATGAGAGCCTTTTGTGAACCGAGTGTAACGCTTGCAGCCGAGACTTCACACCCCCTTTATTCTGTGCTAGATGTCTCGGTCAGCTGTTGTTGTTATTACTCTGTTACTGAAACCAAACAGCAGCCATTATTGTATCCCTCTGAACAGAGGTGTAAAGGTGTCAAGTTCTCATAAGTGATGGGCAACCATGCATCGGTTTATCTGCGCCAGTGGTACAATGATTACGGGGGTCTAGCTAACACTGGAGTGCCAATGAAGATAATATTGCATATAGTTTGACCATGGTTGTAGTTTCTCTAACGTCCTCAGGTTGTCGCTGTTATGTGTTGACTTCATATGCTGTATATAAATGGTTGATTTGCATATAAGCGAGTCAAAATGTTTCATCTACATGATATCTCTAATTACAAGTAAGACTGAGTTACCGAGTTACTTTTGCTTGGTGCCTCCATTTAAAGATATATGAAGTTCAGTTTTGACTATCGAAATGTGAACTCCAGATATCTCCATTGTTATAAGTGAGTCATAATGTCAATTATAGATATATTAAATTTCCTCACTGGATTGTCTTTTAGGTAAACAAAACAAAGATATTACTACCAAGACTAAGCTGTTACAAGCAACTGCAATTTTTAAACATGTAGAATTAGTGTCATGGCTTGTCAGTACTAGAGTGGAGATATTTTGAATATGACTGACTGAGACCAGCCACTGTGCCTTTTAAGCGGCATGCATGCTGTTTGGGTGTCATAAAAGGTGAAAATGAATTAACTATATGATGACACCTTTTTTTGTGGAGCTGACAGGTAAGCAGGAAATTTGTTGTTTGAGGTCAAGTATATAGTAAGCACTTTGGTCATTGCTGAGACAGACAGTCAGTAATTGTGTGTTTATAAGCACATCAGTTTGCTTAGACATGTGTGAGTTGCAAAATGGGCCTAGAACTGAGAAATATTTTTTCCTATAGAATACTGTAGCTGTGCCACTGTGTCATTCCAATACAGGTTGCTTCATGTAAGACTAAAGGGCTGTCTGAGTTTTTGGATCCATTTATCACTCTTGTTTCAACTCATTTTGCCAGAAATGACAGCACAAGCATCCCTACATTTTTTCTTTCTTTATATTTTTTGTCAGTGTAAATGTGTTTTTGTTTTTCTGATTTCATAACAGACTGTCTATGTCAGACCTCTGACTGGCTCATCACAAAGAACCTGAGGGGAGAAAAGTCAAAGAGGCCAGAGTTCAGAACCATGGAGGCTCGGTTTGGTAATATTGTGTTCAGCTCCAAGTTTGACTCAGGAAACCTCGCACGTGTGGAGAAGGTGGAGAAGGGCAGCTCCAGCCCTTCCTCTGATACAGCTTCCAGTGGGAGTGCCCCCTCAGGGTCTACTATTACCCCTGACTATGAGTTCAATGTGTGGACTCAGCCAGACTGTGCTGGTACTGAGCATGAGAATGGAAACAGGTAACAAAACTTCTGCTTTTGTAGAAGGTATTTTGTTGTTTACATGAGAGGACAAAAGGCACGAACAATGCTTCTGTGCAGATAAATATCTTTACTTGCTGCACTGTTTTTGTGTTTCAGATCATGGTTTTACTTCAGTGTGCGGGGTGCAGCACCTGGGAAGATACTCAAGATCAATGTGATGAACATGAATAACCAGAGGAAGCTGTACAGCCAGGGTATGGCTCCTCTTGTACGCACTTTACCTGGCAAGAACCGATGGGAAAGGATCCGAGACAGACCCACATCTGAGGTATATACACACACTCAGAGGCTGTCAGGCAGAGGATGTGGGCAGCAGGAACCAATGAGGCAGAGTGCTGTCAGTCTGGCTTCCTGACAACTATAATTATCTTTCTAATAATATGTCTCTTCTTCCTTTATTCTATCGCTTTCCAGATTGTAGAGAACCAGTTCATTCTCTCATTCACTCACCGGCTGTTGGAGGTGCGGGGGGCTACCACCTACTTCTCCTTCTGCTACCCATTCTCATACAGTGAGTGCCAGGAGATGCTGCAGCAGTTGGATGAGAGCTACCCCAATGCTGCTAAACTCAGTCCAATCAGGTAAAACATACACAACACAACCCCCCACAACACATGCAATACATGTCAATTGACATGTATTTGTAAGTAAAATGCCTCTCTCTTTTCAACTCTCACTCTCTGAAATCTCTGTCCTCCCCTGTGCCCTCTGCCAGTGCACCGGGCAGTGTGTATTATCATCGCGAGTTGCTGTGCCACTCTCTGGATGGCAATAGGGTGGACCTGCTCACTGTGACCAACTGCAACGGGATGCACGAAGAGAGAGAACCCCGGCTGCCTAAGCTGTTTCCCGACAACAACACTCCAAGACCACATCGCTTTTCCAGCAAAAGGGTATGACTCAGTTGTGCATAAACACAATCAGTATTGTCGTTTGTAATGTTACACCTTTAGTGGCTTTTAATGACAACATTTAAGGCTGAGGCTGATGTGGAATTACCTAATAATCTCAAAGAGATGAAGCTGACCCTTGTTGGTGTGTCTGTTTGCAGGTGTTTTTCCTCAGCAGTCGTGTACACCCAGGGGAGACGCCCTCATCCTTTGTGTTTAATGGTTTCCTAAACTTTATCCTAAGAAGAGATGACCCACGTGCTCATGCACTTCGAAACATGTTTGTGTTCAAGCTCATTCCTATGCTCAATCCAGACGGGGTTGTCCGCGGACATTACAGGTAAGAATTTCACATTCACATACATATATGGTTTGCATTAAACTCATCATTCATATCATTTCTCATAAATGTTTTGTGTTATTTATGTCATGATGTGACTTACCTTGTAAAAGGGTTAAATTACAGTTACAGGTAGTTACAACAGGTAACAGTGACTCATATGAGTTACTTGGCAGGGTTTTTGACTTGCAAATAGATCCCATAAAATGTATAACAGGAGTCTTGTTTACTAGACTAACAGTAAAATCGAGTAACACAGGAAACTGTTGAACATGTTTACATGCACTACAATAACCTGATTACTGTAAATCTACATATAAACATGCCACAAGTCAGTAATCAGATTTCTCTCCTACCACAGACCTTATTTTGGAAGCATTATTTACTTATTTTAACCATATAACTACATAGTGATATAATTGTTCCTGGTGGTTTTTCTCTGTACAGCTCTGTGCATCACATATCTGGAATGATGTGTATCTTAAAATAGCATCTGAACCATCTTCTCTTTAAACAAACACTGCTTGTAATTAGTATGCTAGAAAAGCCCTTCAGTTATACAGAAGATTATTACAGTTTTTTTAATTACTAGCAATCTGTCTCTGTTTTGCAGGACTGATTCCAGAGGAGTGAACTTGAACAGACAATACCTGAACCCCAGCCCCGAGCTGCACCCATCCATCTATGGAGCCAAGACACTGTTGCTCTACCACCACATGCACAACCGCTTGCACATTACACAATCCGGCACTCACTTTAACAGCCCTTCACATACACAGACCACGCCCCTGAACATCAAACCCGCCAATCAGCATCAGGCTCCTCCCCTCACCGCCCTTGACGTCAGCGTGAACCAACAAACTGTAGAGAAGGAAGAAAATCCTGCGCAGCCCGAAGTTCCCATGGTGATGGAAGAAAATGTCTGGGTTACCACAGAGACAGGGAAAGGAGACCAGAACAGTTCATCAATCTCTTCAGAGACTGTAGCCCCTGTTACTGTAGAGGTAACAGTCCCACAGGTGGAGGAACAGGAATCAATTCCACCCCAGGAGGGAGGCGTGGCATATTATGTGGATTTACATGGCCACGCCTCCAAACGTGGATGTTTCATGTATGGAAACAGCCTTCCCAGTGAGAGCCAGCAGGTAAAAGATTGTCTGTGTATTCCAACCCTTACCTTGGTATATTTCTGGAACAATGTCAGATGATATTTTGTATTATTGTCAAAGTTTTTCTTAGCTTCACTCCACTCCCTTTCTTCTGTCTTCAGGTAGAGAACATGCTGTACCCAAGGTTGATCGCTGTGAACTCTGCCCACTTTGATTTCCTTGGCTGTAACTTCTCAGAGAAAAACATGTACGCACGAGACAAGAGAGATGGGCAGTCCAAAGAAGGCAGCGGGCGAGTGGCCATTCACAAGGCCATAGGGCTGCTTCACAGGTCAGATTTCAATGAATACACACCACTTCAATAGGTGATGTTCAGTGGTCAGTTCAAATCGCACATTGCAACTTTTTAATCTATTTTCAATACTCCTTTGGGTTTTGAAGAGTCAAAAGTAAGGTTTTCAGAAATTCAAGGATGAGTAATTATCCCACTGTTAATCGTGCATCTTTAATGTTTGTTAATTTGATCAAAATACAGTTTACATAATAGTACGAAACAATAGCTGTAGGAATAGTTGGTCATGTTTCTGTTATTCTCCCTGACAGCTACACTCTGGAGTGCAACTACAACACAGGAAAAAGCATGAACACCATTCCACCTGCCTGCCACGACAACGGACGGGCAACCCCTCCTCCACCTCCATCATTCCCTCCAAAATACACTCCAGAAATATTTGAACAGGTAGGAGGAAAAGAGTGGTTTGTTTTACAGGATTGTAGTTTTTTGGGAACATGAATGAAATCCTTTCAACTCATATCATCCCAAGCTATTGACTCACTGTCAGTAGCTGATATTTCCAACTGGAACACATGTTTATTGAAATGTGGTGAAAATGTTTGTGAAATGAACTACAGAATCTATCTGCAAACTCAAGTGATACTGTGCATCAGGTGGGGCGTGCCGTGGCTGTCTCAGCCCTGGATATGGCAGAGTGTAACCCCTGGCCAAGACTGGTTCTGTCGGAGCACAGCTGCCTGACAAATCTCCGAGCCTGGATCCTCAAACACGTACGCAACACTAAAGGCCTGAACACACACATCCACTCTCACCCTCCACCAAGAATACACCACAATGGCAGCAAGGCTTCACCGCCAAAGAATTTCAACAAGTGAGTTCAAACAAAGAAGCCAAACAACTTACACAAAAATGTGTATTTAAGTATGTTGAGTTTTCATGTAGAACAAACTGTTTGATTGGCTCTGTGTTGAGGTTTTTTTTTTTTTTTTTTTTTTGTGATTTTTTTATTTTTATTTTTTTCCTGGCAGCTGTCTGTCTGGTTCAGCTTCGGAGAACACCCTCAGCCGCATTCGCTGCAACAGCCACAGTAGCAGCAGCCAGACGCCCTCCCCAAAGATGCACAGCTCTCCAAGCTTTACTTTTGGCTGCCCCCCACCCAGAACTCACACGCAGCACAACAGCACACACACAAGCGGACGTGGAGGCAACAAGACACTCGGGCCAGTCAGGGGTAAGCTGACCTCTCAACAATCTGCCTGTCTTACTGGTTGCTGGTTGCCTCTTCCTGGGTGTTTCTCCACTCTTCTCTTTTCCTCTCTCAACGTTACACGTTCTGTCTCTTAGTGGCTCTTGTGGCTGCCATCCTCTGTTTTTACTGATGCTGATGAACGGTTGATGGCTGGTAGTGGGCTCTTTTAGGTAGTGTGGTTCTTTTAGGATGCCAGATTGGTGTGTCAATGTCTGTGATAGTCAGCTTCAGGTTTACTGTTACAGTGATGTGAACTGGGTCCCAGGCTTGGGAGGATTTTTATTTTAGAGACATCAACAAATGGATTCTTGTCCTGGATGTCTCTGGCCTGTAATATGAGCATGACCCCTGCATGACCTGAGCATGACGCCACCCGCTGCTGTTGTCTGTGCATGCATTTTGTCACCTTCAACTGTAGTCCTGCTCAGACTGAGGATGAAACTGCATGACTTTTGTGTTTTAATGAGCCCTGTTCCTAGGCACCACAACCAAATTGATTGTTTGGATGGAAAAATTTGCATATTTTTCCATTATTCAGATTGATTATGACTATAGGCCATCAATTAGCTTACCTGGAGGATTTTAACATCTGCTGTGCCTCAGTACATGGCTCTTGTGAAAGGCAGTTTCCACAGGTACCCACTTTGTGTTGCACACAATCCCCGCATGTCTCTGAGTTGGTGTGCGTATGTGTCTTCCTCTCTGTAGACCCTAAGCCTCAGGAGAAGAGACGTCCCCCCCACCACCGCTCCATCCTACGGTCCCCCAGCAACAGCCACACACCCTTACGTCCCCCACTCTCACCCCCTTCCTCCTCCTCTTCCTCGTCTTCCTCAGTGTGTGCTGCGGGCTCCTGTCCCCTCCCGGCCTCCGTCAGTATGACAGGTCTGTACTCCCTCCAGCCCCCCAGCCTCTCCACCTTGCTCCCCTCCCTGCAGGCTCTGCCCCGCCCCGGGCTGCTCTCCAAACTGAGCCCCCTTCTCCTTCAGAGCCTACCACCGGCCACCAACACTCCAACTGGGCCCACCCAGGACTGAATCTAACCTAACCTGTGAGGGCTTCTGTGTGCGTGTGTGTGTGTGTGTGTGTGTGTGTGTGTGTGTGTGTGTGTGTGCGCATGTGTGTGTGCGTGTGTGTGGGTGGACAGAGTGAATGTAAGTGCAAATCGCTATCCGGTGTGTGTCTGTGAGTGTGTGATTGAAACATTACTGGTGCTAGCTCTTCTAACTTTTCCTCAAATATTTGTTTTTGTTTTTCCTTCTGCACATATCTGCATAATTACATGTATCTACAGTATTAGCACCTTAGGATAAATGATACACTTGAGAGTGCAAGTGTTCCTCAAATCTCAATTATGACTGAAATGTGTTGAGAAACGTTTTTCCTTTCATTACCAACGTTAAATCAAGTATTGTGTAACACACAACCTTCTGACATAGTTCTTGTGGATTCTCTTTACTAACCAAAGCAGACCAGTTAGTGTGTGAATGTGTTTAGCAATGTGCGGCAGTTGCTTAGCTACATAATCTCCATTGTGTCCTTGAACTTGCAGAATATACAGTAGATATTAGCAGTATACATTGATATTAGAAATATTATACGAATGGATTAAATTCAGTTCAGTTTTATTTATATAAGTAGCGCCAAATCATAACATACATTATCTCAAGGCACTTTACAGGGTAGGGTCACAACCTTATAATATTACAGAGAGAAACAGTTCTCACTATGAGCAGCACTTGGCAACAGTGAAGAGGAAAAACTCCCTTCTAACAGCAAGAAACCTCCCTCGACCGGTTGGGGTGAGAGGAGAAAGAGGGGGGTGAGTGGGAGAGAGTGCTCAATGCGTCATGGAAGTTCCCCTAGCAGTCAAGGCCTATAGTAGTATAACTATGGGATGGTTCACCTTAGCCAGCCCTAACTATAATCTTTATGAAAGAGGGAAGTTTTAAGCCTTTATCTTAAATGTAGAGAAGTGTCTGCCTCCCAAACCAGAACTAGGTGCTGGTTCCACAGGAGAGGAGCCTGATAGCTGAAGGCTCTGCCTCACATTCTACTCTTGGTAACTCTAGGAACCACAAGTCGACCTGCATTTTGAGAGCGGAGTGTACTGTTGGGATAATGTACTTTGAGCTCTTTAAGATACGATGTAGTTCGGTCATTAAGGGCTTTATATGTAAGGAGGAGGATTTTACATTCTATTCTGGATTTTATAGGGAGTCAGTGCAGTGAAGCTAACACAGGAGAAATATGAGCTCTTTCTCTAGTTCCTGTCAGTACTCATTCTGCAGCATTTGGAGGCTTTTCACTGAGTTATTGGGACACCCTGATTATATGGAATTACAGTAGTCCAGTCTGGAGGAAACAAATGCATGGATTAGTTTTTTAGCATCCTTTGAGACAGGATGTTTCTAATTTTCACAGTATTGGGCAGGTGGAAGAAGGCTGTCCTAGAGACGGGGTAAAGGTTCCTTACAGTAGAACTTGTAAGTCGCTTTTTCAGTCCGTATACAAGTAACAAATTAATAGAAGAATTATTTCCATGTTACTGTGCTGATATTTGGGAAATACTGTTACTCTTACTCTTAATCAGCTACAATGTGATTTACTTTTGCCATGTTGCACTTTCATTTTTGAATTATTTATTTTATTTAATTTTTGAGAGATTGGGTTTGCAGAATTAGACTGAACATGTGGCTTCTGTTTCTGTAAAATCTTTTAAAGCACTTTCTGATCTTTTGTTCCTTTCCCCAGTGTATTTGGATTTCACTCTGTAATGGTTATATGTAAAACAGTGCAAGTCGCAGGCTGATCACACCGTCCCATTATAGTCATATATGGAGTTAGCTCTGTGTAGGACTTAGCGTTCTGTAGTCTACATTTAAATCCTTGTGATCAAAAATCACATGTAAAAGGTCTGTTGTTTAATTTTTGTGTGTAAGTCTGTGATAATAATGAAACCTGTATCATTCCAGTGTCAGTCCAGTCTTGGTGCTGACATTATGATATTCACAGAGTAGCCTACTGCCAGAAACCTCATGTGGACCATCACTGGCTTAAATCCTCAAGGATGATGGAGTTATGAAAAAAAAGGGTTGTGTCATAGAGCTGCCAACAAGCAATATCATATAAAATTATTTGTTTTTCCAACAGTGTGACCAAGTCAAAGTTGGCAAGTGTTTTTCTAATGAGATTCCAGAATTGGTTTTGGTGTATATAAAGTTTTTTTTAAATTTTATTATGTGTCATCAAGCCGGTGAAGAAAGCATTGATTGTTATTTATTCAAGCACATTTGTGTGTTTCGTTGTGTAAATTGAATTTGACAGGTGTGTAGTTGATGGTCAAAGTTGATATATTTTGTGATTTGCAGAGGTGAGAAATTATCTCATCGTCTTGGTCAATATGTATAAGCCTCATAGAGGAATTGTGGAATTATAGTAATTTGTCTGTAATTCAGTTTTGTGTGCTGTCATCCAAGTACTTGATGATGGTCTGTGTTTTAGACCAGCCATTTTAGACGGACTGAAGATGCTGAGGTTGAATGTCTATGATCTGGAAAGGTTTTATGAGCAGCCGATAAACCAGACCTTTGATCGATTGGATCAAAATAGCTTTCTGAATATCTGGCCTTGCTGTAACTATCGTCTGTTCAAGTGCTGTGCAACATTGTCGTTATGGTGTGCCTTGCTCTGTTGTAAGCAGTAGGTCTAGGTGGCTCTGCTCATCCTTTTTTATCAGAACACCTGGATTATATTGTGATCCGATAGGTCATCCGTCTTGCCTCTACATCTGCATTGTCCTCTATTTGGAGAAACTTGCCCTTGCAAGATGCAATGAAGAAGGAAAAAATAGGAGACATGTATTCATAATTTAGTGGCTTTTTTGATATACAGGCCTAAAACACTGTACCGTTTAAAAAATATATATATATAAATAACTACAGATGAGTTAAAGGAGCATATTTAAGACTTTTGTTGACCTTTTCATGAAAGGGAAAAAGGAGTTAATTAGAGCAGATGTCAAACAAAATCCATCCTCTTTTACTTAGATGTAAAGTTTTCCAAAAAAGGAGCATAGACCTGATAGAGAAATCTTTCAAATTAATGTTAGTGTGTGTGAAACTGTCAACCTCTGAACATTTGATTGTCATTTTGTGCTACAGAAACATAAAAGTCTTACTAAATGCTCCTTTAATGTCACTATGATGATGAATTTCATGTAGCCTATTCCCACTCCATTCAGCACAGTGGGGAACGATGTATCATGATCTTTCACTTTAGACCAGTGCCCTGAAAAAAAAAACTGTAGTTTTATTCTGCTTTCTCACTGTGAACTTTGATGTCCTGTTTCCCAGTTGTTTCAAACCCTAAAGCTTAAATATCTTCATCCAGAATAACAAAGAAAAAGCTTTAGGTGGAAACACACTGTATGCATAGTCACATTCTCATTAGGTCGTTCTGCTTTATCCTCCTTATGAGAATGTTTCCTTCAATGTGGTGCTAACCTTCTATACCAGACTACGGTTAAGTGTTTGTCTGTGTAACATCTTTAAGAATGTCACCTTCTTAAATGTGCTGCTGTCCTTTACCGCCTCTCTGTTTAACCTCTGGAATAAAAACTATCCTTTTGTGAAGCAACTTCTGTGTGTGAGTCCTCTGCTCTCTATTCACTCTGTTGCATGTAATCTTTATTTATTAGCGTCCATGTAGAGTGCAGTTGCTGCCAAACAGTTAAAGGTGCTTGAAAGTCAAACCTCAAGACAATCAGTCAACCCAACATGTGAGATCTTGTGAAAACATTTCCTCTTGACCACTGATACATCAACATTCAGCAATTCATGTGTGTTACATTTGTAATTTTTTAAATACTTTAATTTCCTAATAGTTTTTTGTCCTGGAAAAGATCTCTGTCTTTGAATGTTGTGTTGCCTATTTGCCACCTGCTGTTCTCCCTCCCTCTGTTTTTTTTTTTTTTTTTTTTTTGTGATTAATGTCCCTTCATCTGGTTAACAGGCCTCAGCTGTCCAGACTTTCAGGCTGGTGGACACAGTTCAGAGGGTTGGTCCAGAATGCCTTTCCCCACGCGTCCTGGACGTGTGGGGAGAGGGTGCCGAACTCATCACTCCACAGAGACCCGTACAGAGGTTAGCTGACTTTGCTGGCTCACTCACAGAGAGCAAATTCTCATTTCTTGTATTACCCATTTTTTAATAATATATCTTATATATTTTATATACATTTGTTTAACAAAGTCTTGCCATAATATCTCCATCTGTCGCAGACTGCTAAAGGGTTGGGGCCTGAACACATCCTTTCCTCCATCAAATTTAGCAAGTGAGTCCAATCTTGTCTACCGAAGAAGAAAATGAAAATACACATCTGCATTGCAACAGTGGGACATTGTATATTATGGAGATTTGCCTTCTCCATGCTGTGATTTCTCCATGAGTGGTGAAAATATTAACCTCTTCGTTGCCTGCCCAGGTGTGAACTACAGCCTCATATAAGCCGCATCCCCATCCGGAGGTTGGGATCAACTGACACCTCTTCCACACGCGACAGTAAAACAACCCCTGTTAGCAATAATCCAGAGGAGTCACCCTCCATGAAGGTTTGGAAGCTGCTCAAACCAGGCCTCCACAGACACCTGTCACTCTCAGGTATGTACTTTATACGCACACATACACACATGTTGCTGTTGTATTAGCTCTGTTTGGCCTAGAAGGAGTCACCTGACTAATAATGGGATCAATTAAGATAGGGCCAGTGACAAGGTTTTGCAGTGGGTCATCTCATAAAAGTTTGATTCCACATGACCTTAAAGCTGCAATAATCAATATTTATTTATTTAGAGTGATCCCACTCTGTAGTTCTCCTCAGTCATACATAGCATTGTATTGTCTTTAACCTCATTGCTTTGGTTTTATGGCCTGAAACTGTACTGTTTTGGTTCGTCCCCAGTGTAGGAATTTCTGAACTGCTACTATTTTTACCATTAAATTTGGCTTCAATATGTGTGTTGATTCCGCATTACGGAGGATATTTTCCTTTGTTCCATAATTTTCAAATGCTCCATGGCATTATTGTTTTGAGTTAACGTCTTTACCGTTTATGTCACTCTGCAGGTGTGTCGGGGAAAGACGGTGCCATGCAGCTGGCCTCTAAGGCACTAATGAAGAAGGGCACTGACAGGAGTTTACACTACAAAGGAAATGCTATCATAGAAACTTCACCAGAGATGGATGAAACACTGCAACAGGTGAAAACAGACACTTGTGTCAAGTGGAATTAACATTACAGTAAGACATAATAAATGACTTAACCAGGCTGTACCTTGTTGTCTTTAAAGGTTGAGGAAACTCCGGCGATGCCGCTGCCTGAGCCTGTGAACATGCGTGAGACAGTGACCCTGTGTGGAGAAGCTTAGGAACTGCACAGTAGAGGAGACACTTCGTATATCTGTATTTCGTAATGTGAGCCTAAATCACAATGTTGTGATCACAGCCAGTTAGATCTTCATAACAAGGAGGGCATTGTCATCACAGGAGGATTATTTGGGGCATCCTAATGTGCAATATATCATTTTTATCTTTATTTATTCAGTTTCCAGAGCATGCATGATGTATTCAACCATGCTGTTTGACATAGTTATACCTGCCCAGTACAAACATTGAGTAGCTTTACTGGAGCAGCTGGGGGTTCAGTGCCTTGCTCAATGACACCACAGCAGTGGTTGAGGTAGGGGAGAGGCACACACTTTCCCCATCCCAGTTTTACAACTCATCAAAATCCAGTGACTTGAAATATCTTTAAACATTTCAGCTTCTATCACTGTACCTCACATTTGTGTTTTTATAATTTTAGTTCTGTCTTCTGCTGCTTGTTCCACAAAAAGGCAGCAGGTGCACTCTGACCAATACTGTTATGCACTGATAGATATACTATATGTTTTCAGTCAGCCACTTGTACTCTTACAGCAAAGGTTGACTTTTATTCCAGCTGACACGCACAACAGCACCTTTACCGCCCCCTTTATTTCCTTTTGTGTGTTTAGAAACAAATGTGTGAGAAGTGTGTATTTAATGTAATTATTCCAGAAGTTGTTTGTGCTTTGCCTATAATGCCCATAAAAGGGAGTCAACCCCTGTTGGACCTTTTCATGGTTTGTTTTTACCACACTGCTCAACAGAAAAGAAACTCAAATGTGAAATTGTAAAATCATACTAATTTAAGTAAAAACGTAAAACATTAGTTAGTGTTGTGTATCTATAAGTTAGTAATTCATGTGTAGCAACTGATTTTAGGATAAATGCGGTTGTATCTGGAAAGCCCAAACACTTGTTGGGAGAGGACAATATCAAACTAATCCATGAAGTTAATGAAAAGTACCAAATAGGAGAAAGTAACAAAAAATCAAAGCATAGCTATAAATCTACCTTTACCAGGCCAGAATACAGAGAAATCCTAGAGGAAAACCTGCTGTATTCTGCAAAAGAACTGTAACTTGGGGGAGTTTAATTTCTAAATATACATAAAGCCAAAGTTGCACAAGTGGCTTAAAAACAAGTTTGAGTCCAAAGTTGATACAGACCTAAACATATGACTAATGGATGTAAATTTTGTTACCTCACTTCACATTGAATTGGAAGGGGATGAATAATAATACATAAGGTCCAAACGGGGGGGTGATACCATTTATGGGCAATACATATTTGTATTGAATATACTTTTTCTGTCACATTCCTATAGAGCTTTTTGCTCCACAGCACACCAATATGGGAACAAATCATATATATAAATAAGACAATACTATGTTGGAACTTTAAAAAAACTTGAAGTATAATTAAATTAACTTGAAATAAAGTTTGTGTACTTTAAATTTTGCACAATAACTTAATGACAATTTATTAAATGTATGTGTAGAAAACCATGAGGAATTTACTGAAAAATCAATGCAGATGGACTTCACATATTTTTATTAGAAAAAACACTACTGTGCAATCATAACAACATAGAAATTCTTCTCTAGGAATAAGGATGGGAAGACAGGGAATGTTGTTGTTGTTGGCTTAGATTCCCATCTCACCTGTGGGAAGAAGACATAAACTGGGTTCACACGTGTTAAATGCTAGACAAAATAGTCCTGTTTGAAGTTGAATGTGCTACAGTTATTAAACAAGACTATAAATGAACATTTAAATATGGTTTCTCCACATTTTTACTGATAACCAATGATAAATTATAAACACGCCAGCCATGTACTGAACTGGACTGACTCAGCTACTTCTCCGTGTGCCATGATGCCTTTAATTCTGTGCATTTTACACCAACACTACATTTCTTGCTTTCAATCATTAGTATATCACACCTTTTAGTTAAAGGGACCTATTCAACAAATTCAGTGATGTAGTATGGTGTTAAAAATGTGTTTTTTTGAGGGCACAATGGACCATGACTGACAGTTGTAACCATACACACAATAAAAAAAAACAAGGTATGGGAGTGATGAACCATCTTAGGCAAACATAGATTACACTTACCTCTCCAATCATATTGGGAAACTCTATTCCTGCTTCTTGGGGTTATTGACAGCGACGTAGTGATATAACACCACCAACAGGAACAATGACACGCCAAGCATGTTGGCAAATATGGCCAGCTGCACGTCTGTCACCATTCTGCCAAGGATAAAGAGACACAATGGAGCATTGGAAGAAAAAGTATGTTTGGCAAATGGATGATGGAGGTATAGATATTTTAGCAAGTCAATTTACTATAAAGTCATGTTTAGTTTGTATCATCTTGATTTACTGACTTGTAATGCAGGTTTATCACGTTTCAGCCATTTGTACACGTTGATATCATTATGGTGTGATATTAAGTTATAACTAACTAATGTTCACAATAATAAGAGAAATGATTTCCCCCCTGATAAACTGCCTATATCCCTACGTTAAAGATCTCTGGAAGTCATTTTTAGTTGTAATTCACCGAGAAAAGATACGAAAATGCATTCCAAATGTTAAAAGAAAAGGTATTCATTAGATAATTAGTGGTTAGCGATATTATGTTAATTTGATAGTATAGTATTTATTTTTAATATAGTGATTTGAAGTAACTTTAGATTAAAGCATCTCAAACCACAGGCATACACCTGTATTTTTGAAAACATAATCATATATTTCATACTGGTAACTCAACATGCAGAGACGACACTGCCTTCCTGACCACAATACGCGACACTTACTCAATATTTGTAAATGTGATCAATTTTGCATATGAATTTATATACATGGTGGTTAATCACTCTGCCAAATCATGGTCAGTTTTCTGAGTGGACTATCAATCTGTGTAACGTCAACCCAGCTAGCTAGCTAGCTAACTGGTAGAACCAGCACCTACACTGGTAAAACTAACCGATACGATGGATGCTACATATGAAGCTTCAACATAATTACAAAAATAAACCCATTGCAACGCAGTTTAGCTACTGATACTACTTACGTTATCCCTTGTCTTAGGTTTTTACTGTCAGTTCGAGCGTTTCTTCAGCTGCTCAGCAGCAAACAAGCAAACGTATCTTACTTCCGGCTGGAGGGGAAAGCCACGTCACTTTTAGGAGCACCATAGAAATACTTTTAATAGAGCAGACCTCAGTGATCAAAGAACGAAAATAAAACACTTCAACAATCATAACCCTTATTCATTTTTTCATGTGACACCATTAAAAATTGTAACCGTATAATTTTGAGCCAGTCAAGAGAATGTCATTATGTTTTTCGTCATTCTTTTATCATTGTCATCCAAGCCGGGGGCGGCGGTAGTAAGCTACGGTTAGCTTGAGTGTTTGCACTCTGTAGGAGTGGTCCAAATGTTTCGACATCACCTCACCCGGCGTGAACGAAAGCGGCTAAGATAGATGGTACTTCGACTCGGCAGCTAACGTTGGGAATTTGCACTTCCAAAGGAAGAGATATTCATCTGTACCACCATGGCTCTTTACGAATATGTCACTCAGGATCAACTTGCGGGCTTTGACAAATACAAGGTATGATTAATAGATTGTAATACCATGTTAGCAGTTAGCCATTGAGCCGTGTATGTATGTGTGTGTGTGTGTGTGTGTGTGTGTGTGAGTGAGTGAGTGAGTGAGTGTGAGCGCGCGCGCGCGTGTGTATGTGCGTGTGTGTGTTTCACAGCTAGCTGTCACGATCTGCAGGGTGCTCGCCTCCCAAAGAGTGTGTGAAGGTAGCCAGAATTAGCTAAAATCATACCGGATGCTGATAACGATTACCCTAAAAAATAAAAGTGTTAATGGCCTGTCTTAGATGTTGTTAGTAACTGTAAATCTTCTATGCTGTTGTCATAATAATTTTGTTGTTCATGGGGTTAGTTTCAGTAACCATTGATTGAATAGTGTTCAAATTTGGGGTCAGCAGTCTAAGAGAACCCTTACAGTTGGAAAATATTTTTTGATCATCAGTTCAGCAGTCACGCGTGTGCCCGAACATATAAACACTATACACACTATCTAAAGTCTGCTGAATAAACCAACCCTTTAATATTTCACATATATGTGTGTAGTATCCGTTTGAGAGGTCTATGCGGGGGACAATGTTGAGGAGTATTAATTATTTTGAAAGTGGTGGCCGGAAGTGTAATTGTTTACTTGGCTGTACTTGACATAGGCGCAGATGTGCTAATAGTTAGCTAACGGCTCCCTCTCTTCGCCTGTGTTTGGCTATTAAATAAGGCTTTACCAAAATGTTTTAACACATTTCAAAGATCTACTGACTGTCTCCTTTTTGTGGAGAATGATAGGTCTTTAATGTGATATTGTTATGCTATTATCACAGCTACAAAAGAGTAAGAAGCTAAGTAGCTACTGTAATGGTGAAGTGAGGGGAAACCACTCAACATGAACCAGTGGACGGATGGGGAACACAGACGGGGCCTGACAAGTGAAATCACTCTTAGAGGCAGTTCAGTGACCCTACAGTTGTGTTTTTAAAAGGTTTCTTTGAACAGTACCATCTTCCTCTGTGTGTCACACTAACATTTTAGTGTTAACTTAATTGCCATAAAGCTGAGCATCGGTGTGGTAATACACGGAGGCAATGCAGGACTGAAAGAGGAGTGACAGTTATTTAAAGGATCTCAGCAGACAATTCAGTATTGATAAGGGGACATAATTTGACATGGTAATTGTATATCTATTGGTTTATCAGTGTCCCTGAAGTTTACAGACAAAGAATCCAAGTTATATAATATAAGCTATGTATTCTGATATACAAATGTTTTGATGTGTGATGTGTCTATATTTATTAATTTTCCTGGTCATATTCTTTATCCTTAAACGACTCAAACAAAGGTCACTCAGTTTCTCTTTAACACCTTCTCCTTTGATTACTGTGGGAATCTACTCCCTTGGGTTTTTTTATCATGAAAGGCCTTTTTCCAATAATTGCTTTTTAATTGGCTCAGTCTAAGTGTTGGCTACTGTGCCCCAAGCATTAGTTCCTGGAGGAGAGCGGAGGATGACAAATGACAGTGAATGAAAGGATTGTGGCTCTCTATGACATGGTGCTTGTTTTTTTTCAAACGGTGCACAAATGTGCCCTGACACAAGCATGCAAGTGGAAAGCACATGAGAGCAGAGGACTGTTCTACTGATTTTCTTGCTCTGTTTTTCATGCAATCATTCATCTTTCTGCTTCTCACTTACTTTGTCACACTTAACACTTAGTGCAGTGCCACCTCCCTTGGTGTGAGAGCAACTTGTGTCTCTGTCAATGCGCTTCTGTGCTTTTCATTTGTATAGTCATGTTTGTACTACACTGTCTGTCTTTGCATATGCAGTGATGAGTAATCACATTGTTTATTTTTGTTGAGTTGCAGAAAACATTTTTTTGATATTACATAACATCATGACTTAATTAATCCACAATGGACATTGTAAAGGAGGTGTTCTAGTTTTGTCAACTTTATAGTAATCTGTGATTATTTATTGTGAAAATGAAAATCATCTGTACACACCTCTTAAATTGTATGAACTCTAGTGAAGGTAAATTACACTGTAGCACCCACACTTGTTCATCATGCCTGGATAAAGTTACAAAGACTGGCATCAGGTTAGTTTTGATCTGCATGAGGACAGGCTACTAAAATTATCCAGTGAACAAGTTACATGTGAGGCCGTATGGTCTTTGTTTATAAGCGCTGATTTATTTGCAATGAAAAGTATCAAATATAAAAAATGGGTGAATGATTATCACTGACAAATCATGTGTCTCTTTGCAGTACAGCGCAGTGGACTCCAATCCCCTGTCTATCTATGTCATGCACCCTTTCTGGAACTTTGTCGTGAAGGTAAGACAGACCTGTTCAACTCGATCTGTGTGTGTGTGTGTGTGTGTGTGTGTGTGTGTGTGTGTGTGTGTGTGTGTGTGTGTGTGTGTGTGTGTGTGTGTGTGTGTGTGTGTGTGTGTGCGCGCGCACGCTGCATCATTAATGAGGTTTCAAACTGTCCACTGTGATACAGTAACAACACAGCCTCACACAACCCCTCCTTCTTCTTTGTGTCTGTGTCAGAACACATCAGTCTCTGATTGTAAAGGTCTGTTCTGGACTGTGGAGATAGTGTGTTGTTTTGAAACCAGTCTTGTACCTTGTAATACACACAAGCTGTTCGTCTTTTAGATAAATGGGCCCTTTTCTTTTTTATACAGCTTGTTTAAGCACTGATACATTCATTTACTTATATGCACCAAGCCGTTATTATTTATTATTATATATTTACAAATCTGACACTCATTTTAAGAAATTCATGTTCCATAAAATCCTCACTGCCTAACAGATATGTAACTGCCCATAATGTGTGACAAAAATAATTACTGTCTCATTATGTAATCAGTGTTATTATTAGGGCGAGAAGACTGTATTTAAGAGCTGTGACATGTTAATTAAATGTTTTTCATTATCTTTTTGTCTTTGTCCAGTTTCTACCGACATGGTTGGCTCCAAACCTCATTACATTCACAGGCTTCATGTTCCTCGTGTTGAACTTCCTTATGTTGGCCTTCTACGACTTTGACTTCACTGCCTCTGGTAGGTCCTCTGTACCACTTGTCTTCCCCCTGGCTGTGAATGAGGGAGTGTCATTTCCTTCTTTCCTTTCCTTTTTCAGAGGCTTGTAACTTTGTTTATGAAAGGCAAAGTCCATCACTTACTGAAACATGAGCGCTTATGATGGGCCAGGGTGATCGCTAACCCATGACACCCTACACAAACACACACACTAAACTACCACTGTTGTGTATGTATGTACAACAGAATCTCTAGAACATCAACAAAGACTGACGCATAACTCTTGAAGATACTGTACTCTATCATGTCTTTGTCTCTACTTACGTTTTGCACAGATAGGTGAACATAAACACATAAAGTAAACACACACATAGACATGACTCTACAGTCAATATGACCTCTGGTCAAAATGACACACAACATTTTTGTGCAATATCACTGAAATGTTAACTCATTCAAAACTGTGTCATCTTACAGTAACTGTATTATTTTTAGGTTGAAGTGTAGTCTATTTTGTTATAATTAAAAACAAACGGGTTACATGGACTGCATTGAAAACACGGACCCCAAAGTACAACCTCAACACGACAAAAGTCAGTTTACCTCTTATCACTGTAACAGAAGGGAGTTCTCCTGTGACTTCCAGTTGAGGCTAAGAGCATGAAAAAGGATATAAAATAATCAGTGAACACCACAGATTCCTCAGTTTTGGCCTGGGTTGTGAGTCATGCAATATGGCTCCACAATGGAAGGAAATACCTGACAGAAACTTCACAAATATGCACGAGTAGGCGACTGAACACAAGCTGGAACACAGTTGTTGCAGTAGTTAGGAGGTACAGGAGGAGCCATACTGCCAATAACAAAAGGCACTGTGACACCACACACAATTTGATATTTATGAAACCTGGCATTGAAACACAAATGATAAGAGCGTCTGACTTGGCAAAAGGGTTATCTCTAGAAACCGGTGCCTCAGTGGCTGATCAGACAGTGAGAAGGACACTGTATGAAGTCAACCTTCTGTAGGTGGCGTTCAAAGAAGAAAACCACCAAAAGAGGCCTGATGACTTCTGGCAGCACTTTGTTTAGATCAGATGGAGTCCAGCGTGTTCAGCTGGAGTACCACAGTGACTGCATAGTGTCATGTTTCAGACTGTGAAACATGGAGGTGGGAATGTGCTGATATGGAGCTGCATTAGTGCAAGAGGGGATGACATTTATAAATGGCACAATGAATGCAAGTTTGTACCCAAATACTGAATGAAAGAATGACTCCCAATCTCGAGAAGCTTGGAGATGAACTTTCCAAGACGACAGTATCCCAAACACACTGCAAAAATCACACAAGAGTTTGTAAAGAAGGAAAAAAAGTGAGAACTAGTTGACTATTTTTAAGCAGAAGGTAGAGCAACAAAACCCCTCCAGCACAGAGCCGCTGAGAAGAATCATCCATGACAAAAGGCAGAACATCTCTCCGCAGATTTGTGCAAGACTTGTGTCATCCATGCCCAGGAGGATTGGATCTGCCAACAAAAATAAAGGACAGACATACAAAACATTAAATGAACAACAGACTTCACTAATGAAGGGTGTATTGACTAGTTTATTCTTACATATGGACCTTTCATTTTAGTTTAATTTAAAGTCAAACATTTCTGTTTTTCAAATCAATTGGCTTCCTTCTTCTTAACTGTATTAAATGGAGATGATTTGTGATTTCTACACATTTTAGCGATGACCAGTGACCAGTGGTGTACTCAGTTTTGTTTTGTTGTATACTGTGTGCCTTTCCATTTTCCTCTGTGTCTCTGTGTGGTATGATGAATATTTACATTATTTATGTCTCAGCTGCAGGACATGAACACGTGCCCAGTTGGGTCTGGGTCGCTGCAGGGATCTTCAACTTCTTGGCCTATACACTCGGTGAGTCCTAAACCACCGTGACCCTCCATGTGTTAGTGTTTCTCTCTCTGACTTTTTGAGAGGCTCAAGGGGAATTCTTCCAGTGCAGTGGCTCTCAAGAGCATAAAGCTATCAGACTATATTCATAACTGGTAAAGGGGGGAGGATGTTGTGGTCTGCGTGTAACATCCTGACAGAGACATGGATATATTTAATTTGTTCATTGATTATTTTTCCTCAGATAAACTAATACCTGTTGTCTGTTAAAATGTGGTTGCTCTGTTAATGAGGGAGATACGGTCATATAGTTCTTGCATCAGGTAAATCCAGATACCAATATCAACAGGATGCCACATTATCATTCAGGAGAATCATCATTGACAGTATGGGTGTGCATGGAGCTTTTGTTGTCAAGGTACTAAAATGAATACATGGATGGAGAGTTTCCAAGTGGATAAATCTGCGAGTGTGGAATTTGATCTGCTTCATTCATACTGTAGCATCCTGAGACACCTTCAGCTGACTGTACACAATCAATATTAAGTCGAATGTTTTGCATTTAGTGCGATCAACCGAGATTAATCACTTAAACGGAGCAATATTTACACGGCACGGTGTGACTTTAAGCCTGATTTGGACATTATCAGGAGGTTGTTGTTTTTAGCAGGACTTCACAAAGACTGAAGTTTTTAAGCTTGTTGTAATTACATTGGAAGTGCCATGCATACACATAACACCTAGTTCATAGACTGTTAGTCAGTGAATCTAACTACAGTCATATCCATGCAGATTTATTTGACTGTGAAATTCCGTCTCTGTTTGTTTGTGTGTAGACGTGTACTCTGTGAACCGGACTGAGGTCCATTTAAAATCCCACCGACCATTTTGTGATCCACTGAAATAAAACAACTTTCCATACAGTGGTTTTTTAAATTTATTCATTTATTTTTTATGAGGATGTGTTTTCAGAACACTTCTATGTGTGGATGAAATGAGTGCGGCTCAGATCAGAGGTTGTGACAGAGACTTCAGTGGTGGGAAGAAGGAATGTGGCTCTTTTCAAAGACTTTGTGCAGTTATGTGAGTGTGGGCAGCAGCTTTGGCTCAAGTGTGAAACATGTAAAAAAGAAAGCAAAAGAACATCTTTAGCACTTTGTATGTTTGTGTCTTTATATAAATACTCACATAAACATGTTGTGTATGTAATGATCAGTGCCTCTTTGTTGTGTTTAGATGGTGTTGATGGTAAACAGGCGCGTCGCACCAACTCCTCCACACCACTGGGGGAGCTTTTTGACCACGGCCTGGACAGCTGGGCCTGCATCTTCTTCGTGGCCACCGTATACTCCATATTTGGGCGTGGCGAGAGCGGCGTGGGTGTGGCCACGTTATATTACATCCTGTGGGTGGTGCTGTTCTCCTTCATCCTGTCTCACTGGGAGAAATATAACACTGGCATCTTGTTTCTGCCCTGGGGATACGACATCAGCCAAGTGGTAATGATGCACACAAACACTTACATTCATTCACATTAACATTAACATACCAGCCTTCTAATGACTGGACGTCTGCTGTCCCATCTCCTTCCAGACCATCTCCCTTGTTTACTTGGTCACTGCTGTGGTCGGTGTGGAAACTTGGTACCAGCCGCTCCTGTTTCACTTCCTCTATAGAGACCTTTTCACTTTCATGATCATCGGTGAGCTGTGATTGGTCAATCTGAAAACGCTCTTTCACTTTGCTGAAGCAGCTGCATTAATTCATGTTTGTTGCTTTCCAGCCTGTTCCTTCACTGTGACCTTACCCATGAGCCTCTTCAATGTCCTGAAGTAAGTTACATTTTCATCAGCGTTTTATTTATAGTCGTCGTATTATTTTCGCCCAGTGCGCTGAACTTTTCTCTCCATGTGGTATGGCAGGGCTTACCGCGGCAACACTCTGAAACACAGCAGCCTGTACGAAGCTTTCCTGCCCTTCCTCTCTCCCGTCCTCCTCTTCGTCTTGTCCACCATTTGGGTGGTGTACTCTCCATCCAACATCATCGAGCTGCAGCCCAGGATCTTCTACCTCATGGTGGGGACAGCATTCGCTAATGTCACGGTGAGAGTCTGCTGATTGTTTACACACACACACAAACACACACACACACACACACAAACCACAACTTGTTGCCATAACATATTTATGTTTGTGTTTATCCTGCAGTGTAAACTGATTGTGTGTCAGATGAGTAACACACGATGCCAGGCGCTGAGCTGGTTGTTGCTCCCCATGTTGGTGGTGGTGTTGGTAGCGGTCACAGGGGTGGCCGGCAACGAGACGCTGCTGCTGTATCTGTGGACAGCCGCTGTCATACTAGCACACATACACTACGGCGTATCAGTGGTAAGGTCACACATGCGGATTATTAACTTTTTGGATTTCCCTTATAATTGTTTTTAATGAGCCTGGAGTCCAGAACGAAAGGCAGAATTCCTTGTTTTAGTTTGGCGCTGATAAATGTTTGAAATTACAATGAGATATAAAATAATGTTGTGTTTTTCCATTGGCAGGTACAACAGCTCAGCAGCCACTTCAACATCTTCGCCTTCTCCCTGAAGAAGCCCAACAGTGACTGACAGGAGGAGGAACGAATCGGCTTGAAGGGAGCGGAGGTTTAAGCTCCTCCCCTCCTCTACTCTACCGACACTTCACTCTCATCACGACGGAAACTTCATCCCCTCCCCTCCATCCATGAGGATGCCGCAAATGGAATGGACTATGGCCCTCTTTTCCACTGTCTCCAAACACACAAAAGATACAACACGCACACCCATCCCTAAACCAACCAACCAAACTCCGGTCTCGGCGATGGGGCGGGCCCAGGGGCTCTGGCTTCCGTCATTGGTGATTGGCTAACTTGGTTGAGCCAATGAGGTGCAATTGTTTCCTACGGAAATGTGCTTCAGTCGTGAGGACAGGAGCCCAGACGAGCCATGCAAACATACACACACACATGAACACACATATTCTGCTTCCTGCAGATAATTTATATCTTGTGGCAAGTACAATAGAAACAGAGCCACACACACACACAGTTGCACTCACATAGTATTATGAATGTATAATATGCCTTGGGGAAGCGCCATTTCAGTTTATTGCATTAACAGGAATGCCTAAAGTAGTGCTGTTTCAACTTAACCAAACCTCTGAACTCTGGCCACATGTGGCTAAAACATCCACAGCTGTGTCCAAAGTTTAAAGGTTCATTCACCTGTTTGTCATCGGATGATTTTCAGTTGGAAATCTCAGTGATATATGTTAATAACTATATATATATACTGTATATGTTAAGGGGTTTGGGGCATTTTATTTTCAAGGAAATGAAACTTAAAAAAAAAAAACAATGATTGGTCCTGTAAAACATTGTATAAACTTCCCTCTAATTAATTCCACATTCAGCTCTGTAATGACGGATGTCATGAGTAAACCGAGTTGAATATTGACCAACTAGGGCAAGAATTGACCAGGGTAACCTCTGACTTTTTGAACTCTACTAACCTTTGACCTCTGTCTGAGCACTGGCCTCCCAGCTCTCCCTACCCTCTGAGGTGTCGTGTCTTCATGCTGATTCGCTCTGTTTTTGTTTTGTTTTTTTACATTTCTTTTTTATATACATTCAGTGGAATTATGTGTTGGTCTGTTGCCATGGCAATGGTGTGTGTGGTTTAGTTGCGCAGCGCTTGAATGAAGAGTGTGTCCAAAAACCACAAACGGAGCGGACTCACTCTGAAGGAACAAGCCGCTGCACAGGACACCGCAAACGCCACAACACCACCTGGTGTCAAACCCTCCTGCTCTCTCACACTCTCACACACACACACACACACACACAGACACACACACAGACACACACACATACACATACATATACACACACACACATATACACACACACATACTGTTTTCACACCTTTGATACTGTCTGTAGAAAAAACTTGTGTATTATTGTTTGTTTTTTCAATATGTTAAACACTGTTACTCTGTGTGATTCATGTTTCCATGGTGAGGATGGATAGTCAGTAGTGACTGCAACCGTGACTTGGCTTCTCATCAAGCTGGTTTTCACTGCACAGCCAAATAAGATGAGAAATTCTGTTTTTGTTTTTTTTTTTTTCATATTACAACATAGACAGTTTGTCAGTGTTCTTGCAGTTTGGGGAAATAAGCTTAAGTGGTTCTGGCCTTGTTGTTGAAAAGTCAAGAGTCATGTCTATCTGTCAGGACATTTACCAAGAAAAGATCAGAAAAGTCCCAGCTCCACTCAGGAGTTTGACAATTCAAGCTTGGCCTGATTGAAACCTAAATGAGCAATGTGGAGGTGACACTTGGGTTTCCAGTTACATTTTCAAACCCTGATGCTCAACCAAACTGGAGAAACTAGTTCACAGAGGCTGGTGGGGCTCTGGTTTACATGTCTCGCCTCACTTTCACTGGAAAAAAAACAAACAAAACAGGTGGATCAGATGTACTGTGGTTTCACTGTTCATAAAGTAAACATCTTAAAATAAACCTGAATAACAACTGTTAGTAAAACCTTGTGCTTGCCTTGTGAATGGCAAGTTCATTTTTGAGTTAACTGACTGAACATGAAGTCTGAATGTGAATGTCCAGTCACAGTAAAAAAAAAAGGTACAAAGGAAACATCAGATACATGGGCAAAATGTAAAAATATCTTTCAATTTTAGATTTGCTTATGCGTTTTTTTTATCACGTGCAGAACTTTTGTACATAAACTGTTATTGAGCAACAGTGAACATGTCTGGGAGGAACAAAAAAAAAATCAAACTCTACTGCCATAATACCCAGCAAAGTAGTCCATGTTGATTTCCAGTATCTCTGCACTGCAACTGGGTAAAGCTTGTACGCAGCCATAAGCACATTATAATAGTTGAGATTTGATTTGATTTGATGAGCCCTTTTTAAGGAACCCCCCCACATCTGTGACTGTGGAGACCATAGATTGTAGTGACGTGACAACAACTGACTGTGAGATTTCACCACCAAAACTTGTTTTTCTGGTGGGTAAATGCACTGTCTGGGTATGTGCAGACACTGTGTACTGTTAATGTATGGATGTATACTCTGTATGTGTGGATATCTGTGTAAATACATACATTATTTCTTCGTTTTTATTTTATTATGGTTTTTTTTTGTTTTGTTTTTTTTTTTAAATGAGGTTTTGTTATTCTGGTAGGCCGATTTCTCCAAACACTTAACAGGTGAACTGGTGGACCAGGAGACGATGCCCATCAGCAGTGCTCTTACTGTCAGATCCAAACCCTGTGAAGCTGCAAAACGGTCCAGGTAGCACTTCCTACATCTGACAACGGTTTTTTGAACAATTTTCATCTCTGCTGCTCTGCTTGCTGATTGGATCGTCCTTCAGGTCAAAACTCTGGGATAGTTTGGAGGCTGTCAACACTACAAACAATGCTAAATGCAACGAGGCATTTCATATCATTATTAGAAAAAAAATCTGTCAGCAGGGTGAGACAAACTGTGCCATTTAAAGAAACAAACTCCAGGCAGAACAATGAGAACAAACGTTAAAAGAAACAAGTCTCTCTTCTCTTCCAGCTGGCAGATAAAGTCCTTAGTTCCTTTTAAAATCAGACTTTCATTTTCACAGCTACTTTTCTGGGCATTTTTTGTAGTGTGCTCCTCAGCGTTACTCACCACTTTCTAGAACAAACTTTCTTAATTCTCCCCCTGGATCAATGAACCAAGCTGTTGAAATTGTGACTAAGTTGTTGTATAATGCTGCTCTGGCAAACACTCCAGGGCTTCAGTGTGGCTACTTGTGATGTTGTATTTAACCGGTGAAAGAAAGGACTGTCCAGAAACAAATAAAAGTGAATTTTTCGTTAACCACGTTACTGTGTCAGAAGCAGAAACTTCTGTGATAGTTTTTAAAAGGTGGAATAAAGCTTAAGTTCCTTTAATATCCACTAGGAGCCAGCACAGAGCAGCTATGAGCTTTACGTACTCTGTGCTTTGACCGCTTGAGTCATTTATTTCTTCACTGTAAACATCACCTGTGCCATGGTAAGAGTGTTCTTCAATCGGGTACCATGAATTTTCTTACACGCGCCTTAAGCCTTAAGCTTGCAGCTACATTAACATTAACTACTACACACCTATCCAACAAAACCTCACACTTTCCCACCAAAATGAGGCGCTGGTATCAACACACACCTCCCACAAACTTAAAGTGCTCATTCCAAAATCAAAAGCATCTTTCTCACCTTCGGTTTGAAGCATATGTAGCAACACATGCTCCAACAGCATAAAAACTCAATAATTCACAAATATGTATGTGAATACCCATTCAAAGTACAAATGGAAGCATAATAGAAACCTGTAAAAAAGCAAACATTTCAGTACTTATCAAACTGTTAAAAACTGAAAGATGCTGTGTATTTACTCAATTGGCAGATTTCATCAAAGTGAGGGACAGCACTTCAGTTTCGGGGCAGTAGGAGACCTTGGTGTTATTACAAAGTACATCTATTCAATAAGTTCAAGGAGTCGCTATCATATAAGCACTTACTGTGTACTTAAGCTTCAGGGAGGGAAAGGTGTTTCAATGTCAAAATTGAATTGAGTTTGGAGAAATAATTTGGTTTTATAGGTAAAAACAAACCACTATGCTTACATCAAACCAGCTGTCCAGTCATGTAGAAGTATGAGGACAAATCAACAAATTAACATGCACTACATATAGCCTCCAGCAGATGGAGCTGTAGATCAATACATGTTGTAGCCTGCGTGGTTTTCTACTGGTTGCTATAGCTGAGGACTACAGGGTGGAGAATCACAAACATAGTGTATCTGTACACATTTCCCTCAGAAGTGACGTTCACAGGTAACACCACAGTTGCCATTTCATAGTCTTCTCCACAGTGTAAACAACAAACTGTATGTGCTGAACTCAACACCTCTGACTCATGTGGCTCTGCTCTCTGTTACAGACTTCATTAGTAATTGATTGTCTCCTCGCCTGCAAGTTTGTCTGGCAGGAAAAGCTTGTGTGTGTGTGTGTGTGTGTGCGCGTGTGTTTGTTTTTATCATCTTTGCACTCACAGCAACTCTTAAAACCCTCTGGGCATCATATGCGAGACATTTGGGATGGAGTGTTGACTCAGAGTGAGTGAAAACTTTCAAACAGAGAAAAATCCGAAATCCTTGAATAGTCGTTAAGAGAAAGTGCCAGAAAACATCAAAGGCGGACGCTGTATGGTGGGTTTGTCTTTAATAACGGCTTGTATATCACGGAGTCAGTATGTTTGAGAGTGGAGGCCCAGCATGTCTGTCTTGGATCGGCCTTCTATTGTGAATGTGTAGGTGCTGAGTTCTGCCTGTCAAAACAGCTGGCAGCACGTCATGATGGCCGCTTATCTTGACGGGATCTTTTTCATCCAGAAATATGACTCTCATCGAGCAATGATTCATCCAAACAATGTCCTGTGAGTAAGCCAGAGGGTTGCTCGTCCATTAAATATGTGATCCACCTCTTTGTCTGGGAACAGCCTAATGCAGCGGGCTTTGGAGTGGTGTAAAATGTTTGTGTGACTTAAGGCCCACTGTGCAATTATCCGGCAGCACTTTGGCGGATAAATGTCGATGGATATTCTGTACATTTCAGTTTCACTGTTTTTCGTCTAATTCACATGTCCTCTATATATCCACACTAGGGAAATTTTATTGGTTTTGAGTCCAAAATTTTTTTGTCCTTAATGGAGTAAACCACCAGAACTCTGTATTCTGTATTAAACAGTTACAGTCTTCAGCTTTGAAATACCTCTAAAAAGCCTGAAACTTTCACTGAGGACGACAGCTGTAGTGGATTCACAAAAGTTACAATGGATTCAAACAGTGACCAAGTTTAACTGTGAAAAGAAAAGAAAAGAAAAGAAAAGAAATTAACCTCTTTAAAAAATTGCACTAGGTTATTAAATCATTTACTAATGTTTTATGGATAAGTTATTAGTTTTTTCTTATAAACTGTCCTTTATAAGAAAGTATTACATCATACATAGAAAAAACTTTTAAATGATCTAACTCTTGGCTAACTGGACTAAGTTTTGTTCTTAAAAGACATATTTGTAAGTTTTGCTATTGCTACGTAGCCAAAAGTAGCATTAAAAGCTGTTTCAGGTCAGCAACTTCAGCATCAAACTTCATTCCCTTACTCACCAAGAGCTGTCTCCAGCACTGGAAAACAACACCAGTGTTAACTCTTGTCTCTAACAGCTAGCTAACCAGCTAGCCCTGGCCCACACATGACATAACATGTGACATGGCGCTGCTCAGAGAATATATTATTATCTCTTGTCTTGTAAATGCAACGATGTCTGAAGCTTTTGTCAAGTGACAATCACCACCACCCGCTCCCAGCAAGAAACCACATTCGATGGTAGAGAAAATGTACAAATAGCCCCTTTAAAGTCACATTACTATATGAAAATGTCTGACTTTGGTGCCCTCATTGGTAAAAATCAAAATATAACATCTATTTTTAATATTTTGTCTCAGCAGTTAGTGCACACCCACTAAACTGACATTTTATGCAAAACATCATGAATAAACTTGGTAGAGCTTGACAGGAAAACCAGATCTAACTACCAAGATAAAGGCCCCTGTTTTGTGATAACCTGACTTCTTTTTACATGTCAGCCTGCTGTGAAGGTTAAGCTCCTATGTGTTGATGTTAAAGTGACACAGTGTCCCTCTGGTCAAGGCGTCTTTTAGTGAATTGGCTGGTGTTGATCCTGAACTGACAGTTAATCAGATGTGGCATCAATTAAACAGTGTTCGGCTCGGGTTGCTGCCCTGCGGTACTGGACGTTTTGTGCGCTGCTGACCCCCGTGACTCGTACACAGACACACACTGGGATGGCGAGCAGCCGGAGACGAGTTAACCACCGCGCCACCCTGGACCGATCCCCCTGCGAGATGACGCTCAATTATGGATGACCATCATTAGAAACCAGACACGCCAGAACACAGACTTGCCCAGACTGACACACACACACACACACACACACACACACACACACACACACACACACACACACACACACTCACACACACAAGCACTGTGATGGACACAGCGATTATTCTCAGAGACACCCAAGACTATTGAAGTGCTAATGGGGTAACACCATCCATTTCAATCCATAACCAGTGCACCTGTAACCCCTGTGGCCTCAGGGTGACCATCAGTATACATTTTCCATATCAGTGTGATAATTAACAAATTAAAATCAGTGTCAAATTATGATTTTAATCCAAACTAATTATGTTTCATGGCAAAATCATTTAATTTTTTTTGAGAAAACTGAATTGTGGTTTATCAGACAGTAACAATATGGCATTCCTGTGTACTGTGTCTGGAAGTTGATGTTGGGGTCAGGTGCATATTCATTCCTTTGTCTCGGCTCTTAATCCTGCATTTGTTCTATGAAAGCACAAACACAAAGGACACATCTCTCATCAGTCATTAGAATAGGGATTAAGCGACTATACATCAAAATGATGGCATAGACAGTCATTCATCCACAAGCAGGGTTTCAGCTTTCAGAGTGGAATCTGGGTATGTCAGTTTTCAGTGTGTTTCACTGCTGCCACTTCATCCACATCTCTATTGTCTCTATTCACTTTCTCTTCCCTTTTTTTTAAGCATGATAGCAGCACATGGCTCTATGAAAATGTGTCATGTCAATGTTTGGTCTGCGACTTTGGTCCAGACTTGAAATATCTCGAAATCTATTGGATTGATTGTACAAACATATGTCTCCCTCAGAATTAACCATCATCAAGTCAAACTCTCAATCTGTCCTATACCTAGTTTGGATTGTAGAATACTCACGAAACTAGCTGTACTTTGTATATAGTGCAAACTGGCAAATGCTAGCATGCTAAACTACAATAGTGGACATGATTAGCTTTTGTACCAATTTAGCATCAGTATATTGGTATTGTCTGAACTGAATAACAACACATAGACACACTCCCACAGACACGGTTGGTGCATCTCTTGGTAGCAAACTTACAGCTAACATCTGTATAGTCAATACATAAACACAACACAAAGGGTCCCATGGTCAAAATCAAACAA